TTCTTGAGGAGGAGCCGTGGTCGGCTTTCCATCTCAGGCGCGGCAATGTCGAAGGTCGTCTCGATCGCCCGGTGGTCCGACCCGTGGTCTGTCTCGTGCAGGGCGCATCGTACCACCGTTCTTGCTATCTCCTCAGATGCAAGAGATAGGTCAGTTGTCGTTGCCGCATCGTTCTTCTCCCACGTCTTCGTACCCCGCGGAAGGAGGCTGCGAAGCGAGTACTCACTCATCAGATCGATGATCGGGTCCGCCTCGCCTTGCCTGTCCTCCGACACATCATCCCCTCCCGACAGATAGTCGTGGCGATTGAAGTCTCCTACTAGGACGACGTCTACCCTTTCGCCTGTTCCTCCTCGAACGTTCGTGATGGCTTGCCTCAGCAAGTCACACGCCTGCCGCAGCATCTCCGGCTTCTGCACCGGCACGTACACCGACGCCACCAGCAGTCTTCGGTCCGGAAGCCGGACGACGGCCGCCGTGATGTCCGGCGATGCTATGGGCAGCTGCTCTGCCTCTATGTCTCTGTTCACCCACAGCAAACTTCTGATCCCCCATCTTACTTCGTCCCTCCACTCCGTCGGAACCATCCTCGTCCACCTGCTATGTCCCATCGGAACAGTAACGACCTTACCTTCTGTCCTCCGCGCCCATGGTTCCTGCACCGCTAAGGCCGTGAAGTCGCGCAGCGCCTCGTCATTCATCAAACTCTCGTGGACCTCAGCCTGTTTCCTCACGTTCAGCTGAAGGATCTGGACCTTCTTACTCATGGGAACGCGGATACAGCTTTGGACAGTTCTTGCTGAACGACTCGTGCGGTCCGCCACAGGGAACGCATGTCACGATCGTCTCACCGCATTCAGAGTGGTGGTGGCCTACCTTGGCACATCGTCCACACACCTGGGGGTTCACGCACTGGTACGCCTTGTGCCTGGTGATCTGCTGGCAGTTATAGCACTGTTGAGGACGTGGCCGCCGCTCAAATGCCATCGTCGTGCCGGACTGTCCTCCAACGTGGAAGAAGCTCTCGGAGATCAGTCTACGCGCATCACTGGCCTTGGTCACGAACACGACCATGGACCCATACGCCTTGGGCCTGTCTTTCTTGCTCAGCCAAGATATCTTGGCAACGTTGGTCTCGTTTTCTCGGCTAAGTGCCTCTGCCGCTTCAGCCCTGACATTACCCTTCTCGTCCAGTATCTCGGTTCTCTTCACGTTATCGATCTTCACGCGGTAGAGTTCGTCCTGTAGAACTCGTGTGCCGGGACCGAAGCTCTTCTCCGCGATCTGCTTGACAAGCCTATGTTCAGCATCGTCGCGACAAATGATCCGGATCCTATCCGCATTCCTTGAGTCTACTGTGATGGCCCGACAGCGCCAGCTACCCTGTCCGTCCATCGCGCGCATCTCCTTCTCCACCGCAGCCCGAACCCGACCTGCGTTGGGCTTGTCGATGCCTTCTTCGACTCTTGCTGTGTCGATCGTACAGAATAGAGGGTCGCTGCGGCTCGCCAGAGTTGCGTTGCCCGGCGTAGCTACCCGCGAGTCGCGACCTTGCCCGCCTACGCCGCTTCGCGCGACGTCCGCGTATGACGCACTTGGGCTGTTCCGCATCGCAGCCACTACCGCGATTGCTACGAGGCTTTCGTTCGTCTTGGCGCTTTCGTCCTCCACGCGTTCTTTCATCGCTTGTAGCTCTCCTTTGACAGACTGTTGATCGCTCTTGACTGCTTCCAGCTCAGCGGTGACCACGCGAAGCTCTGCCTCAACGTTCTTGTTCAAGGTTTCTGACTTCTTCCACGCATCGAACATGATTTTGATCGATGCGTGTTGCTCTTTGATCTGCTTGCCCATCGTCAGGAGCAGCCCTTCGTCGTCATCCTCGATGGGTTTCGCGCGTTCCCTAGCCAGAGTTGCGGCTCGCGTGGTCGCCGTCCGCCGGCTACCATCAGCAGTCTCGGTCGCTCCGTCGGTCGCATTGTCGATTTTCTCTTGGCGAGTCTGGTTCAGTCGGACTTTGGTAGTTGAGTTTCGCACCCTTCGTGATGGCAGATCCTCGTCGCTCGCTGCCTCAACCTCCCTCGCAACGGTGAAAGACGATGCTCATCTGAGCCCTGATAGCTTAGCTGGAGCGTAATAAACTATGTATGTATGTATGTACGATGCATTGTTTGATTGTATCTTTGACTTATACAATACAGCACATACATATGCTGCTTAGATAAGTTCTTCCTTTTCAAAATTGCCGGTACAAACACCATGAGTGCGGATATATGAGCTTGTTCAGCAATTTCAGCATCCGTGTAACTCACATCAGACGATAAAAAGTCCGAGTCATGCCTCTTCCGCTTTCGTCGACGGCTCCAATCAAAGTCCCTCTCGCCTTCAAATGATGGCAAGCTTCCTCGCGTCATATGGTCAGAGACGACAAACCCATCTTTGTGCTGCTTCCAGTGGACTCTTTTGTCTACGCTCTGTCCGTTCAGCAACAAAGTGCGTACAGTCTTGATCATAAGTCACTTCCTCTCTCGCAAACATTCTCAATGTTTAAGAAGCCAAAAGTTGCTGTGATGGGCCTCCGCAACCCTCTGGTAATGGCTGTAGCGGTTGGTTTGCAAACCAAAATGTGGGGTCGGGATGGTGTACGACAGTGCGAGAGGCAGCGTGTAATCAAGAGCTACTCCAAAGCATCCATAACCAGCTTTCACAGCAGTCACTCTCGCACTTCTGACCGTGGTCGCATGTACACAGTTAGAACGACTATGGGCTTGGCCTGTGTGGGTCAAGTTTAAAAAGATGAAGTATGTTGTTAAGAGGAAGTAATATATGATTAATATTATATAACTGTTTGGCACATGCAATTGGTCCTAAATCAACGGGTATGGCTTCCTGTTCTACCTCTCGGATGGCTGTCGAATCCCGTCATTCGGGCTACCCGCGTCCAAACCTACGTGCCAATATCCGTAAGTGGTGACTCCACGTTCTTCCCGCTCCCAGATGCATCAAAAGCCGATTTTGGCTGCCGTCACAAAAAAGTTGCGACAAAGTTTAGAAAACTAGCAATCACAGAATAGACTCAGATGCGGCTCCACTGCCACCTGGTGCCTAACGCATTCATGCGGTATGCTTGCTTGAAAAGGGATGCATTGGGCATAGTAGAACGACAAGAAGATGATGAATCAGACTCATTGTTTACTTTATGGTACGTCAACAATACGGTACTGTCGCAGCCCGTACCCAAAAAAAATCATGGCTTCTCGTCAGCAGCAGCCAAAGAAAAGGGATAGAACCAACGAGAACTGCGATAAAGCGGTCAAAAACATCATGTGGCGTTGTGAGCAGATTAGACGACGGTACGGGGCCGATCTGTACGTCCAAGTCCGCTTCAAAAGCAGGTTCTATGAATACACGTCTTCCAATGAGCACAATTTCCCTAAATCTCGCAATGAGTTGGTAAGTTCAATCACATCATAGCCCTTCAAGGCTACCTTTAAGGCTAAGGTTTGGAAGAAAACGATCTATCCGGTTCCGGTGACGAGATCGCCACTGGACTATGCGGAAAGAAGATCTCGGAGCGACGTCAAAGGTCAATCCGGCGTGGGTAGCGGTTGAGTGCGACGATGTAGCTGTTCGGCGGAGGATCGTAGTTGCATTGATGTCCATTTTTCTTGTATATCTACTGCACCGCCCGAATTGGTGTGTGTACTTGGTGTGTCGCTCTCCTCATGTCCTCTGATCCTTGCTGTCTCCTTGGGAAAGGCAGTGGGCAATATACTTACTGCCCTTCAAATAAACTCGTTGCTTTTTGTTGGTTTCACACCGCTTCGCGGTTGATTAGAAGACATGAATGGAGACCCGTTCGCTCATGCATTGGCCAAGACATACTAGCAATTGATCCGTCCGAGTCTTTCAGCTGAGTTTGTATGAATTATGTGACCATGATGATCTTGAAG